ATCAATAATCGTGCTCAGACGATGAGGAATGGTAATGACAGTGCTGTCAAGGAGGCAGTTTCGGATAATTTCTTGAATGAGGCGATCCGTTCTGTAATCCACAGTGGACGACGCCTCGTCTATTACAATGACTTTGTTTTTCTGAAGAAGCGCACGTGCAAAGGAGATGAGTTGGCGCTCACTTGGACCCAGGGTAGCTCCACAATCCGCGAGGTCCTGTTGCAACTGTTTGGGAAGGCTCTCGACCCAGGACTTCAAATGACATTTCTCAAGGACTTCCCAGATCTCCCTCTCGGTATGGCTAAGGAATGGATCCACGTTCATGCGTAGTGTGCCCATGAAGAGGATTGGCTCCTTGGTAATAATTGAAATGCCACGCCTACTCCTTTGAAGGTCAAGGTTGTTAATAGTGACATCGTCAATCATTATCTTACCTGCACAGTCCGGGACCAATCGAAACAGTGCATTTATGATAGACGACTTTCCAGCTCCTGGACGTCCTGTGATGCCAAACCTCTCCCCAGGGTACACATCAAAGGAGATTTCTTTTAATACCCTGGACCCTTCTCTACTGTAGCTCAAGGAGATGTTTTCGAAGGAAACTGCGCCGTCTTTTGGCCATGGCACTGGAGGCTGGATCTCCATGGCGTATCCAGGTTCTGGTACAATCTCTGCGCAGGCCAAGTTGCGATAAACAGCACTCATATAATTTTCAACTTCAAAGGAACGTTTGACGCCATTTTGCGACACATCATTCAACAACTGAAGGGTGTAGATCAGTGACAGAATGGTGCTGGCTGAAACAGTTTAAAGATAGGATTAGACTTTTAGTAACAAAATCTCTTAAATGTTTATCAAGTCACCCTCACAAAGTACTCGTACTGTTTCCCGAGGTAACCAGTCGATACAATCGATTTCAGGCGATGCCAAATAGATATTACATATTATCTTTAAATAATCTGAGGCTAGGGGCCCGATTGTCAAATTTCAAAAGTCCAGGTAAATTGAAGGGCCCAAAGCTATATTTTACAAGGTGCAGAGAAGCAGGTACCGGCTTCCTGACCAGTTCATTTTGTTTCTGTAGCTTTCAGTAAAACATTCTAAAAACAATTTACCGTATGAAAAAGGCGGCAGTTACTTTCATTCAAAAATACCTGCATCCAGCTTCACATAAAACGCTCCAGCAACCACTGAAACAATGAAGAGTACGCACACTGAGTCGAGGCGGAACCCGATCCAGCTCCAACATGAGGTAGTCATGCACCATCCTTGACTGTGTGAATCTTGGTAACTAACAGAAATCAAACCGCAAGTTTTATTATGATATGAATAATTATCACATAATAGAATTATTATTGTGTCATGGTCCTTGGAAAAAGAGAGAGACAAGGCTTTCATGTGTTTAAATTCCGAACGTAAAAAGTTTCCCAAGACACACAGGAAAGAGTAGCATAACTCATTAGCTTTCCTTTGTCTTTGATCCCTTAAAAATACACCTTTAGAAGAGTACCAATGCAGAGACATTCGACTGTCAGTATTAAAGTACTGTTTTTAAAGTAGTAATAGCCGGAATTATTCAAGTTAATTATATACAGACACCATTAGGTGTTGGTTTAAGATACTAAGTCATTTAGTGTCGGTGTAGTTGATGACGAGGCAGCGTTTAAGATAGCGTCAGATAATACTAAATCATGTTATGCAAAATGTAACTGAAAAAAATTACACGAACCCATAGAAATCCTCTGTGAAGGACTTCTGCATACTGTGAGTCCTGATCGTCACCAGTCCCATCAACGTCTCCGAGAAATGAGATACCACTGGCTTTCGAGAGCTGATCTCCAGTCTTCTAACTTGGCGCGCGGTTTTGAGAGAGTAAGCCCATAATAAGAGAAACAAAACAAACAGCGGTATTCCACCTAAAAGTACGCTCGGATTGAGAACCACTGGGAGGAGAAAGGCTGAGATGGCGAATAGGGTTATCTGAATGGCGCGCAGAAATACACTTGGTAAAAGTTCGTCCATGCACCCGATATCTTTTGAAAAGCGGTTCAAAATGCTAATGGCTGAATTCGTGTCAAAAAATAAGACTGGTGCACGAAGAATAGAAACAACCATATTCTGGTGAAGGCGTTCGGATGAACGTAAGGTGGTAGCGAAGAAAAACGAAGCACGCATGATTGACAGCATGAATACTCCGCCCACCATAGCGGCATAAATATACCAAGTGGTCTGATCGAGGTTCAACAGAGTAGCAGACTCACTCATGCGCAATAGCCACATGTCCGGGATGAGAATGGCTCCTGTAGAACGAAGAGAATTTTAACTATCCCCGAACTTTTTTAGTCGCATTCATTAAATAGGTAAAAGTAAAGCTAAATGAAAGCAGCAGAGCGATGCCGATCTTGCTAAGCAAGCTGATATAAGTTTGTTGAAAAATTGGTTCGAATCAGTTTTCGTTATGCTAACAATCGTGCACCCCCATGGAAAAATCAGGAGTTCTTAGGATGCACGTGTTTCGCTCTTCATTAGTAAGAAAGTGTTTATTAACTATAGCGAAATATTACAGAATATGGAAGGAATTCAGGAAGATGCTTGTCATGGACGATCCTCACACTTACTCTACTGCTGGTCTAGAACCTTGTTCCTGAATTATCCCTGTATTTGCAGTAAGACTTTATTTCTCTTGTATTTCTTACCTTGAACGACAAAGGTAAACAGTGCAAATACAACGATGAATGGTAGACAGGCGCCGGTTCTGAGATAATTCCACAGAATTGTGCATGACACAGGCCCCATCATTTCTTCTTCTTCAAACAGGTTCGAACGTGTGCGATACTTTTCTTGAATTTCCTCTTCGATAGCAAATTCCACCGTCTTGTTACTCGGACACTTTCTCTCCCTCTCACGGGATTCTCCGGGCGAGTGGAGCTTCACGGACCGGTATCCCATCACCTGTGACGTAACTTCGTTTACAATTGTCCCAGCGCGCATGGTCAAAATTTGATCCGCTCGCTCAACGTATTGTAATTGGCGGCTCGCTAGAATTCGTATTCTTTTTGAAAGCAGCCCGCACACGCATTTACCAAAAACCTGCTCAGCGACTCTTGCATCGACAGGTGCAAAGGGGTCGTCCAACAGATAAATATCGGCGTCTGAATATGCTGCCCTTGCAATTCCCATGCGAGCTTTCTGATCTTCTGTCAAACTGAGGCCATTGTTCCCCACGAAAGTCAGGTCTCCATCCGAAAGCTTGTCAATGTCCTTCTGTAAGTTGCACGCATTAACTATGGCCTGATACCTAAACGGATTGTACGGCTTACCAAACAAAATGTTTTCACGAAGGGTGTTGGAGAAAATCCAAGGTATCTGAGGCACATACGCAATCTTTCCCACGCAGGAGATGTATCCCTCAGTTGGAGGAAGTTCCCCAAGGATAGCTGCAAGGAGGGAGGATTTTCCGCACCCTGCAGGACCGTTGATTAAAGTCAGTTCCTTGCTAGCCGCCCTGAAAGTAATGTTCCTCAGCACGACAGACTTATTTCCGCCTCCCCAATGACAAGACACGTTTTCAAAGGTCACATGAATATCATTCGAAGGATTGTCGGGTGCATCGAGAGATCTTTGCTTGATTAGTACAGGCTCATACTGTGGGACGCTCTTTCCAGATCTTATGTCATTGGAGATCTTTGTCACGTCTTCCGCAGACAGGTACTTTGACATCTCGGCGTCAGTCAAATCTAAGAAGGAGCGGATTTTCGAGCGGGTTCTCTTCCTGCTGTACGTGTCTTCCGAGTAAACAGATTCCTCGAGCTCCAGAAATGTTTGAATTCTCCCTAAGGATCCCGTCACAGCACCGATGAAATTGACACCGGCGGCAAACTTGGATGAGGCAGACAGACGGATTGTCCTTATCAGTGCGAGGACCATGAAGATACTGTAAGTAGACAACTCCACTCCTGTGATGATGAGAACTGTTAGCGATATGAAACACGCCACAATGGAGCTTGTGTGAAGAAAAGTCTCAAACGTTGATAAGATGGCACTCTTCTGGCGGACATACTGTAGTTCCTTCCTGTTGAAGATCAAGATTTATTCAGTAGATGAATATTTTCGAGGGCGACTACATTTATCAGCAACTGAAACTAACTAAATTTTTTCTGCATCTCTGTTCACTTACTCAAATTTTCTCATCGCGTCATACGGGATCTCTCATACCTTCGTATCTCTTCCACTTTCCTCTTGTAAGGCCATTCCCACGTGTTCATCTTGATTGCGCGGATTCCATTAACGATGTGTTTCATAACTCCCATTCTCCGCTCCGTCCAACGTGCAATGCGCAGGCGTAATTTCATACATACGTCCCACATACCGATGTAATAGGCCAGAAGGAAGATTAAGAAAATGATACCGGATACAGCTTGGAAACCAACAAGGCGCCAGATCAGAGCCGTCACGGTGACAAGTTCTACGAGCCCCTGCAGAGTGTATCCCACTTTCTGAAAGATTTGATCCAGGCGCTGAGCATCATGGGTAATCAAAGCGATGATGTGACCAGGTTGGACCCGCGTGAGGTCTTTGAGCCGTAACTTGAAAATCTTGAAAAAATAAATATTGAAAGAAGAATGCAAGAAAAGTTGAGATATTTATTTCTCATATAAGTTGTTATTTCATCCTTTTTGCCACGATTCAGAGCGCTGGAATTAAAGCTCGAAGAAACAGTCAAATCGAGTTATTCATGGAAGACACGAAATACACGTAATTCAAACGTTACTCTGTGTATAAATATTTTTAACACATCTAAAAATATAATTTCAGTAATTCCACTTGTAAACGATACGAAAAAAATCAAAAGACCACTTTTTTCATCATATATGCATATCTTATGCATATCTCGTCCGCGATATTGACTGAACCAGTGCTAAATTATCATTTTAGCATATTCATCAAGGAAGCGTCGCTTCAAAAGCCACTTTTTTGCTCTTAACAGATTTCAACGTCATCTGAGATTTTTGACTCAACAGACGCTGAGATGTATAGCAACATGCAATCTATCTGTTGATTAATGACTAGGCCTTTTCGCGAGTTTCAATTCTTTATAAAAATGCTTTTAATAATGTTGGACAAACACATTTCATCTTAACAGTCAAACTCGTTCCCAGGGATTTCTCTTTTTAGGTAAGGGAGAACCTGGTGGCTAGGTTCCACGACAGTAGAGACAGTTTAGGAATAGGTTGATCTGGCGGCAGGTTTCTGATTTACGACGGAATTCTCTTCGTGGTCTACACCTAATTTTCTTAAGTTAAGTATCTTGCCCTTTTAAAATCGTTTGTACCTTCTTGTAAATGACACCAATCGCAGCTGCCCTCCAGCGCATGCCCATGTAGTCCACCTTGCTCTGATACTGATTCATGGCCAGTATGTGAAACAAAGCACTGCAACAGAGCCCACCAGCAAACAAACACAGCCAGCGGTCGTATTGCACATTCCCACCATGCAGCATTGAAGATAACAGAAGGCCAAGTAACAGAGGCTGTAGAATATTACAGGCCACGGCGATGAAAAGAGAGAGACCTGCTAAGGCGAAGTCGCTCCACGGTAAAACCTTCATCATTGCCCTGGAAAGTCGTGCCTTTCGTCCCTTGATGTGCGAGTTTCGTATTTCCTCGTGCCATGTTTGTTCCAGCTTTTCCGTTAGACCTTTGCATCTGTCCTCATCTAGAAGTGGGTAAAGGTCGCTGTGTTCTAAAACCCGTTTGTTGCCGATGTTCATTAAGTTGTTCATCCAGGAGAAGAAGAGACGAGACAAAATTCCCGCTCGTTCCTTAGGATTTTTCATAAACAGGGAATATTTCCACGATTTGTCATATGAAGACTGCATACTTAATGAGGTTTCTTCTGTGAGTAAATCAGGATTAGATTAAGGACGGGCCGGATACACTTCTACGTCGTGAGTCCGTAGGGAATGTCGCCTGAGAAACGACCTATGAGTAGAGGAAGGAAATGTTGCAGGGGAATATCATAGTTTAACTTTTACTCTTACCGTGAATTAACAAGGAAGAACTTTGTGCGCACCGACTTTAGGTATTAGAAAGGCCTAACAGACTTCTCTCAAGACAGTTGTCGTGGGTTTTTCTTAAATTGGTCGAAATCATGAAGCCAATTTCAATTAAGGATAAAAATAAACTGAGATAGAGGGGTTACAAAATTCAACACCAGGAAAATATTATGTGAAACCACCATCAATACTTGCGAACATACATATTCTGTCCGTTGCCATTTCTTTGTTTTAAGAGACTGAATTCTGTATGAGATTTCAACTAGTTTAACTTCTAAACATTTCAGAGGAATACTCACAGAAAAAGTGTGAAAATCAAGCGTACTAAAATGTTACGGTAATATGAAAACAGATGTCCGAATTTTGTTTGAATAGCTCGGTTGTTATCTCATTGCAGCTTTTACTGCGCTTGCATGATCACATGGTGCATAGTCTTCGTGACGTCTTAAGGGACTTGATCTTCCCGTTGAATCTCCCCGATCCATGTTTTAAAAAGATACGAGAGAGGTGGGTGAAAATGTTATTCTAAATGAAAATATATTACAAAAAAAATAAACTTACCTTTTTATTACCGTCTCTTCTCAATGTATACCACGCAATTTGAAGCGCACGTTTCCCCTGTCAGATGCTCTTCAAAATGGCTGATTACAGAAAACTGTTCATGGCGAAGACAAAATAGTTTAGGTTATCAATTGTTTCTTACAGTAATTGCCGCCAAAGCGGCATACAACAGACGGTGCCGGTCAAGGTGTTGGATTTTCAAAAAGATCTGCGTACATATTTTCGCAGCTTTGATTTTGCGGGTTGATTCACAAAGAGATAACTGGGAATTTTGAAAAATTTAGCTTTGTTTATTTCCTGTCTTGGGTTCAAAGATCACCTTTTTTCAGTTTTAATCAAATTTACTGTTATACTCGTTTCGATGATTTGTGAAGAGCTAAAAATGAAATAGTTTGAAGGAACAGAAAAACTTTATTTTTTTTGCGGTCATTTACGTAAAAAAATAAGGCGGACTGCTCATGTGATTGAATGCATTGCAAAACTTTCACGTTTTTACTCGAAAATATCTAAAATAAATATAAAATAATTAGTGGGCAATAGTGATGTTGTAGTAATGTCAGTAGTTTTTTGATGTAGCAAAATTCATCGATGTCAAGAGGAAACTAAATTTCGCTTTTTTTTTAATTTTTTGCTATTTTTATCAACCCCACCAGCTGGCGTGAATAAGGCAGAAGTTGGGATAAAAAAGAATTGAAAAAAGAAACGAATTTTGCCAGATATTTTCGGAAGCTGTAATATTTTTGCCAATGTTTTTAACCATTTGTATAACAGTAAGAGCAGACTTGAATCACTCAGTGTGAATCTCACCATATGGTCAATCAATTTGGACTTAAAATTATGAACGGGCAATTAACGAGTTTGATGGTAAAAAAAATATAACATGCTGACATATAAAGAATTGTCGGAAAAATCATAAGTGAACTCACCTTTTTGTGCTGTAGAATAAAACTCACATCCTTTCAAGATCTTGCAATTTGCATGAAACAAAAACCTCATTTTTAGACATCAAACATTAATTGACTTTGATTTATGACAGTCTTCGCGCTTTTAGCTGATAAATGAAACCGCAATGGAATGACGATCAAAGCATGCGCGACTGAGAACATGGCCAGCGGTGTCTCTGTGAAGTGATTTTAATTTTCCTCTCAGAAAGCAAATCAGATTTCATTGGATTTCTAAAATGAAACGGAGACCTTGTTTTATAGAGGAAGTATACCTTTTGATTAATCTATTCTCACGTAAACTACTTCTCTATCGCCTGGAGTCCATAGCCTTTAAAACCCTTGAAATACTTATCGTAAAATAAGTTATTATCTTTTTGTAAATAGAATACGAAAGATAGAAAGTTTAAAGCTCGGTAAAGAAATAGAGAGAGAAAAAATTCTGACGAAAAACTTGTTTCGCTAAGTTATAATCTTTTTCATGTCATTTTGTCCTACATCTTTCCTTGAAATATTATGGGTCATCGCTCTTCCAGAATAATGACGAGTTCCAAACACGAGAACAGGTTTTACTGTCGTTCTCGAACACTCGGGAGCTGAGACCCGCGGGAGTTCCCGCGCGCTATTATGGCAATCAATATTCGGACCCAGTCTTTACACTGTCGCTCCATCACTGAGTACTTTCTCTGAAGAACGCTGTAAACACTTTGAACGAATTTCGTGGTTTTATTTGAAGTGCGATAGAAGACATCGCATGGATAAAGAGATCAGAGACAAAAATGCAGAGGGAGGCAGCAGCGACGAAGAAGAAGCTTTCGAAAGCGCCGATGAAGGAGAAGATGGAACCAAACACGGTAAACATTCTACCCGTGCAGTCGCCACGTCAGCTGACATTAGATCTCCACATTCCACGTCGAAAGAATCAGTTGGCATGAATGATGCCTCAATAACTAGGCAGGCAACCTCAGACGGTGATATTAGTTCCGAAAAAGAAGAGCTGGAGATGCGAAATTCAAGTATGGATGAAAACGTAGTGCAGGAAAACATCGTAGAGGGATACCTTAGAAAAGAAAAATCTACTGTGATACAGGACGAGAATTCACCTTCCACCGAAAAGATTGTAGATGAGAATTCGCAAGCTACTGAGTCAAGTGAGACAATCGATAAAAACGCCAAAACTAGGGCATCAAAGTCCTCCGAGGATGAGGAAACTGCTGCTATAAGCGAGAAAGAAGACAATATCAAACTCGACTCAGAAGAGCTTATAGACCATAGCTTGACAATGGAACACAACGATCATCAGATTGCGGTGAACCAGGTTGATGTGTTAGCTAAGGAAAGAGCAGAAGCTGCAGGAAACTCTGAAAAAAGGCAGCAGCAGACGAAGGCTTCAGAATCAAATGCTGGTGATCAAGTTGAAGATATAAAGCGTGACAGGTAATTGTTTGGTAAGGGGGGGATGGGGGAGTATGGTTAGGGTAGGATGGAGAAGAAAAGAAAAGCTATTGGTGAAGGGAGCCTAAGTTCAGTGAAAGCCTGGCTGTGTATCTTTGCTTGCTAATTGTTTCTCCACCTAACTGTTTCTAATGCTATTTACATTAACTGCGTAGAAAGTTAGGAATACATGACTGATTTCATTTAAAAGGTAAGTCATGATCGTCAGCTCTTCTATAAAATTAGGATGGTGAATTTGGCTATTCACAAACATTTTTTTGTAGTCAGACTATGTATCAGGATTTTTTTGTTTCCAAAATGTGTTGGTTGAGAGATGTGAAAGAAAACTGAAGAGAAAGTGATTTCAGGTTGCTTTTAGCAAATAGGATCTAAACTTGCATAAATATTTTTTGTGACTAGTTCATTGGAGAGGCCAGTACAAGAAGCATCCAAGGCCAGTACCTCTGGAGGTTGGGGGTGGGGAGGCTGGAGCTCAGTGCTCTCTCAAGCGACAGCTTCTGTCACATCAGGGTTGTCTTCTGTTATTGAAACAGTAGAAACAACACTTGGTGTTCCTGACCCAGAGGAGATGGCAAGGAAAGTGAGAGCAGAAGAAAAACAAGTAAAGGAGAAAGTGACAGAGGAACAAAATTCTGAACATTCAGAAGAAAGGAAAGGTGATAGCACCACTGAAGGTCAGTAAATTATGGTTTTTAATGTTTGATTTGCATGTTAGACCAAGATTATTCATTAGTTGTAGATGTGGTTTCTGCTTCTGGGATAGGATAATTTCTGGGCTATCTTACTGAACTATTTTACTCTTACTGTCTCTGTTGTGGATATTGGAGCATAGGGATTGAACCCCATACCAAGCAGTTTCCTAAGAACCTCATACTGGTACTTTCTGGAGAAATTTTTTGTATGTGAAAACAGTCCCTCAGAAGAACAAGAGATGAAAATCTTGTACAATAAGCATCTTAGATTAGTTTCTGAGAAAATTATATTCATTCGTAACTCTAGAAGAGTTGTTGGACATTATAAAGGAAAAATTAAATTTTAAAAGGCATCCTTTTCAAGGGAAATTAGAAAACCAAAATTACACCTTCAGAAGGGAATTTATTAGGATATTGATAGATTTTCCAGAACATAATAAACATCAGAATTTTTTCCCTGAACACATCTACTGCTGTTTTTACTGTGTTAACTTTAACTCCCACAAGTGTTAAACATGTAACTTCTCCCTAAAATATCCATATGTTGTTCAGAAAACTGGTGATGAGAATACCCAAACTTATCTGGTATAAGTTGTTGTATTGATCTAACACCACATTCTAGTAACTAATTTACATGAAAATGTGTAGCAGCAAGAGGGGAGAGTTAGCAATTAGATCTTGAAAGTTAAAGAGTTAGAGGTTGTCAAGTTAGGCTTGTCAAGTGTTAAGTCATAATTTTGCACAAGCAAACACTTTCATAACACTGATGACTAGTAGTGTTGCAATTATTTGTTTCATTTTTCCCTTTATACCAAACAGCTACTAGTGATTCTTTCTTCTCTGGGTTTGGTGTATCAAACCTGACCAGTGTGGTGCAGAGCACTGGAATTGAGCTGGTATCAGGAGGGCTGGGTGCTTTGGAGTTTATTGGCAAAAAGACAATGACTGTTTTGTCTGAGGGTGATCCAGGACTGAGGCAAAAAAGAGAACAGATTGCAGGAAAAGGCCCAAGTCTCTCTCAGGCAAGTTCATAATGAACAATAAGAGTAGGAGCTTATCGTGTGAAAGTCGATGAGGACAAGTGCAAATCAATAATTTTTCACAGAAATTGGTAGCAAATAATCTAATTGTATTAGTTTAGATATATTATAAACTTAATACAAGACAGGGTCATTATTCTATTTTGTGAACCACCACACAGTGTTAGGCTACAAACTTGACTTGCTACATCTATCACATAATAGATAGCAAGTGGTGTAGCAAATCAGATGGTAGCATTTGTGATAGAATGCAATTAGATTAATACTGATATGCTATATTATGTTGATATGCTATTTTAAGGGTGGCAACCAAGAATTTGGTAGGGATTGGTTGGAGGAGGTCTTTAATATGGTTTCTGGATAAAAGAAGAAAGTCAAATCTACTTTCAACCACCCCTGTCCCACTGTAGCAACCTCCTTCCAGAGACACATTCTCTGTAGTGACAACTAATAAGCAAGTAAATGCGCCTTGGACACAGTTTTTGTTTCCAGTATGAAACATCCTGCAACAATGAAGAAAACAGCAGCTTTTGGCAGTTGTCTTACTCAAGGAAATTGAAATTTTCTTCTGTTAGGTTTTAAGAGAGGCCAGAGAAGCATCCGAACAAAAAGCTACAGTTGAAGCGGAACAAACCACACCCATGGTAGACTTATGCGGCGAGTTTGACAAATTCCAAGGACTTGCTCACTTAGAAGCACTGGAGATGCTTTCACGCGACAGTGAGGCCAAGGTGAGCAACAGAAAGACTTAGTTATTGACATTAGGCTCTTAATTCACTAAACAGTCCCTGTTAGATCCTCCTTCCCCCTTGGTAAATTGTTTTGCACCTTGCAATGTGCAAGCTACAACTGCATCTGTTTTGCACCTTGCAATGTGCCAGCTACAACTGCATCTAATGCCTGCATCAGCAGTGTTCTCCTTTTCAGGCTGTAACCATTACAACTTACCACTTGTATTCCCTTTATTGCCGCCTAAAACTGCCTGAAATTCTTGAAAATTCAACGGGTAAATGGTTTTTAGAACAGTTTTAAAATTTCTTTTACTTGTCACGCTTAGATTAAGGGAGAACACTGCACCACATGCAATTTCGATTTCCCTAAGCTACCGCATTGCTTGAAGCAATTTTCCCCCACCCTCCTCTCATACAATATCAAAGTTTGCGCCCCATAACAACATGATTGATTATAATTCCCTCCAATCATGGAAAACACCCAAAAAATGTCTGTCCGATATGTTCAAGTTTATGAATTATAGATACTAGTATATTAGTAACAAATTGTTTGCAGTAATTGTTTAGCTCATTTAAGCGTGTGTCGACCTTTTGCCTCCAGCTTGAATCCTGCATCATTGATTTAACGGAAGATGAGCTTCACATGCTGAAGCCTTTGTTACGAGCCGTGGAGGAAGTTTTTCACATCGACGACGACAACGACGCTGATGTCGAAGGGGCTGAAGACTTTAAATCGGTCGTGTTGGACAATGTCAAGTCGCTAAACCTGCCGTTTACTGCGGACAAGATCATTTATTCACAGGAAAAGACAAGAGAATGGATTGCTTCTTGTGTTAAAGAACAGGACGATTCTCCGGGGAGCAAAGACGGAGTTGAAATTTATAACACAGCCGTTTCAAGCTTGGCGGAGCTCACGGCTCGTACCGTGGAATCATTTCACAAGTTTACAGAACTGTTACTCCATCAAGCTGAGCAGGCTACGGAAACCTCGTCTCTTGTGCGTGCGCAATGCGTGCGTAAATTGACAGACGCAGTTTTAGAGGAGATTTCTATTTTGGCGACGCATTTCGCAGGTTGTTTGAACACCGCTGCCGACGACTCAGAAAACCCTGACTCAGTCAGCTCTTTAATAACAACATTGTATCTTGATTCCTCGACAAGTGCAGACTATTTGAGAAACTCTTTGAAACTTTTACGGCCCGTTTTACAGCTTTCCTCCCTCAATGAGCAAAACCCTCCAAAAGGTTGAAGCGGACCCACAAGTATATTTGCAGAGAGTTCTTTTCTTGTAAAGTGCACTAGTTGATCATTCGCAATATGGGTAATTTGGTCACTTATACAAATAATTTAATCTTCAAATCGTTGCATATGTTCAAATGAAAGTTATTGCATCATAAATTTAGGAAATTCTATTTGTGTAATAAATCTTCTAGTACTGGTGCGCAGAAGATTGTCTCTATTCGATTCTTAAATATCCAGAATAAAGTCACCAAATTTGGGCGCTAGTATGAACGATTAGACACCTTACACCCTAACATCAGTATTCATTTTCTCCATACTGTTCTCTATACATTTCCTGATGTACTGACAAGGAGAATTTGTTTAACAATCAAGAGGTTCTTCAGTTGATTATCATTTCCTTTATTCTCTTGACCTTAATGTTTGATTCAGAGAGAAATTAAAAATTCGATGCTAGTCACTCTCGGAGATTAAAGGATTAAAGAAAATTTTGCACGTTTGTAAATCCTTCCGGAAACCCCTGCCCAGGAGTGTTTAAAACGTGGAGTTCATTCCTTTGTGGGATTTAATTTATATAGACGTGAGCGCGAGATGCATTAGACACCCGGTTAAGAATTTCCGTCGATCTGTTATCTCCTCTAATGCTCCGTTCCTTATTATCTATTCTTGTGTGAGTCTTCTGGTCTGCGTGTATTAACTTTACCGGCAAAGTGTGAACGGCGCATTGTTGTAGGAGATGCCACTGATCTCTTACAATAATTGCAAGGCATGGTCAACTGAGGCAATTTTAAATTAAGTGTCGAAAGTAATCCATGATTGCGTTATTTTCGCTTTACTTGGCTCTGTGATTGATCCAAAAAACTCGCCCAACTCTCTCAACCAATCAGATGCAAAATTAAGACCAATCAACACTTTGTCGCCGCGTTTTCCCGCGCTTAACGCAGTTTGGTCGGTTCAACTTAATGGGCCACATATGGTAATCAATTTGGTTTTGGCTCTACCACACTTAATCAAAAAGCATTCCAATACCAATGCAATCGAGTGTTATCTTGGACACTCAACTGAACATTGCTCAAGACAAGCTCTACAAAACAATAAACAGAGTCAGTAGTAAAGTTCAAAACGTTTTATTCTTCATTCACGTGATCAGAGTACATTCAAGGAAACCATCACAACCACACGTTCGTAAGTCCTCATAATTGGTGCCTGAGTAGCAGGTCCTGCAGGAAACAAGTAAAATGGGGCACAAGGAAGAAAATCACAAGCAATTCTTCCATAAACGCGTCTGGGTATCAGGTGCCTTGTTCCTTTAATGAGCCTGCTACTCATGCGAGAGCGAAAGTTTTCAGTTGGCACGACACTTCAAATTTACCTACTTCACAATACAAAAATTATCGTAAAAACAGCAGTCCGGGCTTTCAGTTCCACTTGAAAATAATCCTAATGAGGAAATTCTACATGCACAACTCGTCTAATGTTGAGTAATGAGAAATAATCCATGAAAAATTTCAAGTCAGGTCGATAGCCTGCTATTAGTAACATAATGAGAAATAACCATAACAAAATCAACAGCAGCAAGTTCTAAGAAATTCTTTATTTCCACAGCTTGTAGGCATTGTACATCAGGTGGGCAGTAAATACTGCAAGTTACCACACCTCAAGAAGATTATCTTTATTCTTGAGTTAGCTAAATTGAGCTCCATTCAAACGGCCTGTTTCTTCAAAATTCAGTCCGAATTATCTTTGATAAAGAGTATCTGATGGAGCTCCGAACGCTTCAATGTTACGTTAGGCTTCCATCGCGCGCAAGAACGCCGATAAGGTGACATAATCATCACGAATAAAAAAATTATCGGAACGTGGGGAAATGACAGTGGCAACCAAAATTGCCGAGGGGGTTTACCTCTTCAAGAAGCATGCGCACAGAACAAGTCTCTAATAACTTTCGCGCTTTTCACGCCAAGGAAACAACTGAAATTACAATCAACAGCTGGGATTCCAAGCAGGGGACAAAGGAGGGAATGATTTTGAAACAATTTTTCTTTCTTTCTTTTTTATGTAATTTGGCAGTTTGAAAATGCTAATGGAAGACGGACCGATCATCAAGGAACTGCCCTGAATTAGAGTGACTATGTTTCATCACCCTTCGTTTCATTTTCTTTATTTTCATTAACATTACTAGACAAACTAACCACGCCCTTTCCTTCACATGTCGAAGACTCTGCATCTGATTTATCAGTCTCTCCTTTTTGAGGGTTGCTTTCGGACGCCTCTTTATTCTGAGGTATTTTTGGTTCCCTATCACGACCTCCCGCGTGTTCCACTTCTGCCTTTGCTTCACCGTTTTGCGGAGATTTTTGCTCTGTCTTTGCTCCATCTTTTGTCGGCGATTTTTCTTCCAAAGAAGTGTTAACGTTTTCATCGTCTTTCTCCTGCTCATTTTCGTCCTCTTCTGTTTGAATTTGGGCCTAGACGTGACACGGTGGTATGAAAAGGCAAAACGTACAATGATTGTACCAAAGACAAAGTAAAAAGGAAGAAGAAAGAAAATGCGCAAGGAATTCGTTAGTTGTTCTAGATTCCTGCTGATTTCTGGAGACTTGTACTGCAACACCTGCATACCATACAGTCTCTCTCCAGTCCGGCAAACGGATACATGTAAAACACATGTAAGAATTAGGAACATGTTTCAATATCATATTTGTTATTTTTATTCAATAAATACAATGATAATGACAAAGAATTACAACAAGGAGGACGAAAAAACAGAATATCTCAAACAGATAGGAACCCCACAGCAGCTACAAGCAGATCATCTTTCCCAACTCAGTCAGCCAGGTAACGCATACAACAACAACAACAACAACAACAACAACAAGGGGCATTGCGCGAGAACTTAGCACAAAGAAGGCACCGATTTTTGTTTTGTTTTTGGTTTATCTTTTTAATTTTTTTTTTCTTTTATCCTTCGTTTTCTTGCGCAATGGTCTGAGAAAAAGAGAACTGCTTGAAGTTTAGATTACAAGGAAATCATATGCTCCAAAAGTAAACAACGATGTCTTAAAATTGATTAAAATAACACAAAATATAACGCAAGAACTCAAACAAAAGACATTTCAGCCAATCTCTTTAACTACATAGATTGAAGAGCCATGACTTACAAATGTGTTTAGGGCAACAGCTTTGCGCACATGAAAAAATAAACATACCTCTTTGACGTCTTGATAGCACAAATAATGGTACGTCTGCAACCCAATTTTAACTCAGCATAAAAACATTGAACAAACCTCTAAACCGAAACAGCTAGTTAAGGAAAAAGAAAACAAAACAACGGAAAAAATAATAACTCGCCTTGCCATCAATGCGAACGGCAGACTTATAATGCCACTCTTCATTAGTCTCTTCCCAGAATTGCTCAAATTTCTCGCAACAGATGTCGCATTCCTAGGAAACAAATAAGGTGTTGGTCAAAACCGCTACTCAACTGAATAAAGGGGATAAGTCTGAAAAGACACAAGTTTCCAAAGTAAAAATAAAAAACGTGGAAATGTTTTGTTTGCCTCGTATATTTAGGGTATACCACTAAACTATAGCCTAAATTGCAGCTCTCAGAACATTGATTGTGGTGAGATATCACCTGAACCATTACAGTACAAAGACAAAAAGTTCCCAAAGTTGCTGGGGTGGTAAACCAAGTCTTAAATTGGTGGGGCCATGATGTTATGTCTTCGATGTGCAGATCTTTCATTTACCTTAAGGTTGTGAAAATTTCACAAAAAATGAATAAATATTAAACATGTTCTAGCATCCTGTGCCAGCTCTCGGGCTGGAAAGGGTTAAGAAACTGTTGGGCTGCTTTGGTGGAGGGTTTTACAAGATACTTTTGTTTTGTGAAATGAGTTGAAAATACAGCCCTTTCCCTCTAACGAAGGGCTAACGGTCGAAACGTCAGCTTAAGAAACTCTTTACGGTGGACAGTTTACATTGTCAACTCCGTTGGTGAAAACCAAGTTATTTTGTTCACCAACTGCTTCCTCGGTAACAAGAACTAACAGAGCACCCTTACCGCTTCAGCTTCTGTGTCACCAGCAAGCACAGGACAGCTACCATCTGCAAACTCCTTTTCTGTTTCCTTCAACGGATCTGGAGAGTCTACAGCCCCCTTGCTGATATCAAAGAACGAACTCTTTGCTGTAGGAAAAAAAATGCGACACTGCACAATAGAATATGTTTCACGCACTCATAACGACTTGTTATCTTCCTACGAAGTCGTTCTTCAAAATCAGATTATATGCGTAAGGCATACACCAACTGCCTCGGATATACAGACAATAATTATCTGTGGCATACCTAGTTCGATGTGTTTCATCTGTTTTGCCGGACACGCTATCCATAAAAAGTCGCTGTTTTATTCGAATATTCGGGTTTTTTAATTGTTTTCATTTGTGTGTATGTATGTGTGTTTGTTTTTCCTTGTTTTTACTTTTTTCTTCCCATCTGGAAGAAAAAGGAGTACAGAAAAATTTAAGGGAGTCCCCCGAAAAAAAAAAAATTACTGAACATTGCCGATGGAGACGCCAAAACGCTACCTCTTTCGTCTGGATCCGATATCTCTTCGTAATTAAGCCAGTCCTTAACAACAAAGTACCACTGCCTGTGTGCCACTCTCCTGCCGTCCTTCTCTCGGCGGTTTTTACGGAAATGCCAATCCAAGTGCTCACGGTAGATCTTTGCAGCTTCACCAGGAAACCGCAGCCCACAAGATGAACATTGCGTGCCATCGTAAAGACTGGCGATAACACTATCGTGACGCCTGCGCAGTGATAAAAAATACAGAGAGACAGTGTGACATTGAAACTGAGGCAAATTTCGTGTGAAAGTAAATCAAGATTACTTCGGTTTTGCTTCACTTCGTTCTGGGATTGGTCTTAAAAAAAAATAAATAAAAAAGAGCAATCGAATTGACCGATCAGATGCACCTTAAAACAACCGCGAGCGACTTGGTTACTTGCACTCGTAGAGTTTTTGTTTTATTTAGGGTTTTTTATTAGCTCCTTCAGACTTTTTCCGTTCTGATAAACCTGGTTTTGATTTGACGAAACTCATTAAAGGGCGCAAAAATAGTTTGCCTGCAGGTGATCAGTTGTAATACCCAAGACGATAAGCTTACTTTTTGAGGTCCTCGGGAACAAGTTTTATCGGTGGAATGACTGGTTTCTCCACTTTTGGAGGTTTCGTCTGTTCTGCAGTTATGGCTGGTAGTGAGAGG